ATAAATTCATAATTGCAGCAGCCGCAAAACCACTTCGTTAAGAATACTGCGGCTAGTTTGACAACTGCAGCGCGTCCAACGAGCCAACGTAAATGCGAAAGCCGCAAATCGCAATGAACACGCACACGCGGTCAAATTGACAAACCAAACTCGCTGCTGATGAGGCTGGTTGAGCTGACGTCCGCTTGATGCTGAATGCTGGATGCTGAGAGCTGAGAGCTGAAAGCTGCCAGCAAATGCGTCAATCCACTTATGCCATTCAGGTACACATATTTAAAGTACTCTGACTCTGACTCTCACTCTGTTTACAATTAATTTATCACGCATACGCCACATGTGTCAAATAAATTTCTTCATGGCCTTGCCCGAGTGCCATCAAGTTGGCCACATCAGAGAGTAGCAAGTCAAGGCTTTGACTCTGTGCACATGGCCTTCAAAACTATTCAGTTTGATATGTGCTGAGCGATTTATTTTCTGTGTAGCATTTACTATTGACTCTAAGAGCTCTAGAGTTCAAAGCACAAACTCTGCTTTTGTTTAGAAATTTGAAAGCTTTAGCGAACATTGGCAATGAAAGCTATTAGTGAAATTGCGAATTCGCTTTGTGAGGCTTACGTAACACAAGACTTTCATTTGACAAAGCTTAATTTAATATCAGAAATTGAGCTTAACTCAACTGAGGCCTACTCTTGAGCTTGAGTGTTCAAGCATGAACAGTTCATAGAAAAAAACATAAAATGTGATAAATGTCTAGTATATAATATGAATATCAGGAGAGACTCAGCTGGGACCCTGCTAATGATTGGATGTAGCTTTAGGACTCTCATGTTAGGTATATAAGCCTAGAATTTGAAGTGCTTTAATATGTTCGATCAACAGTTCTAGAGCTGCTTTCCTTTAACTTTCTCTTTTACTGAATTTTGACTTTCATGTTAAAGTATATGGAACACGTTTAATTGACGTGAGTATTCCAGAAATACTGTAGAAAATTTGTAAATTGTTATGGGAAGTGTTGAAGTGTTCCATATTCAGCTTACAGCTGCAGGTTTAGAATGAAACAGCTCAGCTGCCTTTGCCTAAGACATAAGATAAGCATCATTGGGCGCTGTGAACTCTCATCAATTATTATTCCTATTATAATTCCAGTTCTTTACCCACCTCATTGCCTACTCTTAACTTCCTGGAACATGATTTTCCCACAGTGCAGCAGTGGTGTCCGTAGTCCTATATCCATTGAAGACACTTCTCATTATGAACAATGCTCTTGAAAAAAATATTGAATTTCAAATATTTGCTTCTTCTTGTGCTTTGTGAGGCCATTTACCATAAGGACTACCCTCGTGGCTTTGGCTAAGATAACAAAAAGTGTCCGAAACTTGATGTGTTCGAACAGGGCGAAGCAGGCCTCCTGGCCGAGCCATCAAAATGACATTATAATGTGGCAAATGACTTTGCCGCAGCAGTAGCCGCAGCAGCAGCAGCAGCAGCAGCAGCAGCAGCTTTCTGCTAAACATAAACATTAAAAATTAATCAGCACTTCCAACTCAAAACTTTTGATAATTTCTGCGAACAAGAAAGCAACAACCTGAAAGGGTTAAATGGCCAAAGTCCCCCCAAAAAGTTTGGGGCGACAAAAGGAAATGTCTTTTTTTTTTTGAAAAATGACAGTAAGTATATATATATATATATATATATAGGCAAGGGGAGAGAGTGGCAGAGCAGTGGCTGACTCTTTGCTAGACCGTAGCTTCAGAAACTTTTAACCCATTTCGAGGGACCCTTTTAGAGTTTTCTGGTTTTTCAAATTTATGAACGACATAAAACGTTGACTCAGGTGGCTGTAATTTTTTTTTCGGATGTTAATAGCGACCTGCTTTACTTAGTGTTTAACGTTCGTTTCTGGGTTTAATTGGTTCGCTTGTGGCGCAACAACTTTTCACACTTTATGTTGTCGCTGGCGTATGAGTGATATTTCATGTTAGAGCATTTTACGCGTCGCTCGCTCGACATAGACCTCTGCCAGCAGCAGATGCATAAAGCGCAGCTATTATTATAGCCAGCGCTTATCATAAACTATTTACACGTTGCTTTCGCAGTCAAAGGATTTATGTCAACTAATAAAATCGGGCGTGCGAGGCATAGAAACTCTGCGGGAGGGGAAACATTTTGAAAGCTTTTTAGTTGCGCTTCAAACTTTGAGCAAAAACAAACAAACAGTCAGGCGTATAATTGCAATTAAAGGTTGCAATTAAGATGCTTGAACGCGAAATACAGGTGCAACAAGTAGCTGCGGGGAATGACCGACTAGAAAATACCCTGAACTTAAAGGAAATCTTTGATTAGAGGCAGACTTTAACGGGGATTCAATGGCTTGGAAATATTTGTATATTTCAGTAGTGTCTATGGCTGCTCTAAGATATCGATAGTAAGCTTAAAAGTGATCGATAACATACAAAAAACTCTAGGGCTCAGAGGTTTGCAGAGCGAAGCGTTCATAAGCTGGACAGACAGATGAATAGAGATTGAGGTTTGATTCTGTTGAAGCACATAGCTGGGCTCAGTCAAGTTCAGTCACAAATATAACTTAATTAACCATTCTGAATGTGCTTAGGGTATTTAGAATCAAGAACTCACTTTGAATAGCTTTCAACTAAACTAAGCTGCAGCTGTAGATTACCCTTGCCCTATCTTAGAGCTGTAAAACAAGTTAAAGTTCAGCTCGAAAGACTGCAGCACACTTCTATGCCAAATAGATCTCGTCCAGATTGCATTTGATTGACAATCGCTGCCATGCACTGACCCACATGATGCAGACAAGCTGAATGCTGGCAAGGCAACAATAACGGACTCATATTTCAAACTCAAAGGTAATGAGCGACAGCAGCAAAAAGAAAGCAGACACGCTCTGATATGAGCCAAGCCAGCCAACAATTAAAGGAACAGCAAACGCTTCGAACAGAGCAGCAACTGCAGAGCTGTTGACACCTCTGACAACGTATTATTTATCTGCTGGAATGTTGAAATATATGAACTTCTAGTAACATGAGCTATGCAAATGATGTGTGTGTGTGTGGGAGCTCATCAAGTGTTGGTGTTTGCTAGTCGTTTATTCCCAGTTAGAATAATACTAAATGCTGCTGTCTTACTATAAACACAACTGAAGCTTAGCTATGTGTTTTCGAGTTATTTTTGATAAGATTATTTAATCACAGATTTCAGTATCTTTAGACCCAGGCGTCTGCTTCGCCTCCAATGTGTGGGTTTGCCAGGCTGCGCATAATTCGAGTATTTTTTCGACGTCACAGCCAGTTTGCTTGCTTTATTTCTGCTCTGAGTAGGCGTACGCCCATCATTGAGGCTACGCACAGCCTTGATAGCTTGACTCAATATTCAATTTCCTTACAACCCTCTCAGTTTTAAATGTCGCTTAGTGAATTTAAATTTACTAGAAGATATCAATCCCACTTGCTGTATTTAGTCACAAGTACTTCTGGGAAAAGCTTCTTTTGCATCTATTCGAGATTTAGCAGGAATACTCGAAGCAGCTAGGAGCCATTGATTAGACCATTCGACTCGAGTGTGGCCATTCCATGTTGGCATCTGAAGGTGGCTTTCTTTAAGGTCTGACGGTCTTTAGTTCAAGTTTTGCTACAGCTTTAACTGTTATAATACATAGCACAGCCAAATAAATAAATAAATAGATACAAAGCAATTTTTCAAGCTCAAATATGCAGCAGCAGCAGCAGCAGCAGCAGGGGGAGGAGCAGGAGCAACAGCACTGGCACTTGGACTTCCGAGTCAATTAGTGTTAATTTCATTAGTTGGCAATAACTTGCAGCAAATTTCATCAGGCAGTGCCTCAAACGCTCGCTGACTCAAGACTTTACTTTTTGGCTAATTTTTGTTGCTGTTTCGCTAACGCGCTCAACTCAACTTGAACATTTGTTGCCGTTGCCGTTGCCGTTGCCATTGCCGCTGCTGTTGAAGTTACATTTGGCAATTAGCAGCTGCATTCTGTAGCATTTGGACCCTTTTGCATTGCATTGCCCTGTCGCTGGCTATGGCGCACTTCAATACATATTTATTAGCCGCATTTGTTGGATCTTAGCTCAATTAAAAAGTTTTCCTTGGCTACTTTTCTTCATTTTGTAGGTTGCCCTCTGACTCGCAGTCCAGACTCTAGTCCAACTCCAACTGCAACTCTGACTCCGACTCTGACTGTGACTCCGACTCTGAATGTCTTGTTTTGGCCATGCTCAGCCAAGTTTCTGCGTTGCTTTCGCAGTTTTACACTTCTCTGTGGCACTAATTGCAATTATTCTGCGCCACACGCCCATCGGCTAAAAGCCTGTGTCTTAGCAACAACCAGCATACCAAGAGGACAACTTAAAGCCACAAACAAGTGAAGAGTGCTGCAGTCGGGCATGCTCGACTGGCTAGATACCCTGCAAAAGCTGCACACAGCTGTCACAGAAGAGACTTATGCAGCTGCTGCGCTTGTTTCTCCGACAGTTCCCAATAGCACAAAGCTTGATTCAACTCTGCCTCTAGATATATGATCTTAAACAAATTTTCACAGCTTGGTTATGAGATATAAATGTCTTTTTATACTAAAGCTTAAGTTGCTTTGTTTTGAGAACTTCAAGTTTCTAAGTTTTGTTGCTCACAAATTCAAAGGCTTAGAAAAAAGGTTAGATGGTCGGACGGATGCAAGGAAGGTCGGACGGACGGTCAGACGAACGGTCAGACGGAGGGTCAGACTTTCGGTCAGAGCTCAGATGGTTGGACAGATGAATGGACGAAAGGATGAATATTCATACTATTATTATAGTTCGTATATAGTTCATATAGTTCACATATTTAGCCTCTTTGATCAGTTTGTCCTCGTGTTATAAGCTACGCAACTTTTTGCCTGTTTCACACTTTTGGCTTCTGTCCACATCAAATATATTATTCCAGATCAAACACACATATATATATTAAATATATATCTATAAAAAAACAAACTCTAAATAAATATTATAATTTGGACAAAGCTTAGCCCAGCAGATGATTGGGCGAGTGCCAACCGCCATATGAGTTCAAGGCCTGAGCGGAAATCGCGTATTGCGGCCGCTGCTTGTGTACCACGGTGCGTATGACGGGAACTTTGACTGGATATGGGTAGTAGACGGGCGTGGCTATGGGCTTCTCGACACGATAGGGCACTTGGCGCTCGACGACATAGGGAATGGGTCGCTCGACTGGAACGGGCCTAACTTTCTCCATGGGTATTTTGACCTCCTGCAGTTGCGGCACAGCCACTGCCTTCGTCACGGGTATCCGGATGGGAATTGGCTTCGGAATGGCGGTGATCACAGGCCGAGGTATGCGCAGCTGCAGTGGCTGCTTGTAGGGCACGTGCACCTGCTGATAGTGCGTGATGGGCACGTGCTTTGTGACCTCAATGTGCTTGGACAGCGGCAGCCCGGCTACGGCTCTGCTGCTCGACGGCGTGTGATGCACGGTCGTTGTGATCGGCGGCAACGAATGGCGACTGGGCAGATCGACAACGTGTCGCTCTGCCTGGGAGTAGAGCAGCTGCTGATCCTCGTGTGGCAGCTGGGCGCCTCTGTCCTGCTGCTCAAGCTGCTTTCGCTTGACAGGCAGCTCGTGCAGCTCCGAGCGCAGCTGCCTGTTCGCATAAGCCAACGCGTTGTCGCTGGGGTTTTGCTGTTGCTGCTGCTGCTGCTGTTCTCTGCTAGCGGCAGGATGGCGATAATTGGAAAATTGCTCAATATGATAATCGTTGTTGTGCTGCGATGCCCGCGGCTGATACACATAGCTCTGATAGTAGATGTCAGGCGGCTGCTGCTGCTGCTCTTGCTGCTGCTGTTGTTGCTCTTCGTTGGGAGTCAACTCATAATTTGCCGTATTAATGACAAAATCGATTTTACCCTGATCCGAGTATCCTGACTGCATGCCATTGTTGTTGTTGCCGTTGCCGTTGCCGTTGCCGTTGCCGTTGCCGTTGTAGCTGTGTGGCACAAAGCCATTGGCTATGCCAGCTAGACCACTGATGGCTTTTCGTTCATAATTTGCATATGGTGTCGCTGCCAAGTCACCTGCTGCACTAGCTGCCCCATAATAATGTCGTGTAGTGGCATAGCCAGCTAATCCTGGCCCTGGCAGCGCCTCAATGTTCGGCTCATGGTAATTGCTTTGGCCATGCTGGCGCAGGGGCGTACCTAGCGGCAATTCACTCATTGGCAGCTCCATTATCGCTGCCGTCGCCAGCGTCGTCCTCATTGTTATGGATAACAATAACAGCCATGGCCTCAGTAATTCATTGATCATTAATGGAATGTGTGTCTTGGCTAGCTTCATGCTCTTCTGCAGCTGAAGCGGACGAGGTCGCTGCGTTGTGGATATTCAAATGTGACTTTGACTGAAGGCAGTTGGGCTTTTATAGCCCTGAGGGTTACCCATGGGTAATACGATATGTGTGTTGATGTGCTGGGTCTGGTCATTGCACCAAAAGTCAAGTTCATTGTCTCTCTCTCACTCTGTGTCTATGATCAATGGCATTCACTTTCACTCTTACGGCAACGTCCTTGTCCCTGGCCCTGTCTAGAGCTGGCTCAATCGAGCCGCCGACAACTGCATTAAATTTCACACTTGTGGTTTGGCCGGCTGCTGTTTGCGGTTTGGTTTCCATCTAAGCACACACATGAAGCTGACGCCTAGCCTTTGATATGTTTGGCTGACAAAGGCTGCAGCGGCCTTTGGTTGGTGTCACATGAAACCAAAGATTTCCGCGACTTTCAATTTTAGTTTCAGCTGCTTCAAGTTTCTTGCATAATTTCAGCACTTGTCAGCAGCCGTTGGCCAACGGCTTTGGCCCAAAAGAAATCAGTATAATATCTTACTCTACATTTTGACAAGCAAGAATTTTGTGCTTTGGGGCATTTGGGTATTTGAGTGTGGCGAGTGGCGTGGGGCGTGTGGCATGTGGCGTGGGTGACTACTACCTGCAGCTCATTCATCATTCTTGCTTGCATTTTTAACTTGGCAAAAGTTCGCCACCCACAGCCGACTCAACCACTTAGCAAACTCCTTCTGTTGGTTCAAAGTATTTGCACAATTGCTGCTTGAGCTGCGCACGAAATGACAGCGCAAAGTGTACGTAAAGTGGATTTTTTCCATTGAACGAGGTTAAGCTTCGTTAAATTCTGCACAGCGTCGCCGCCGAAAGCCCCAAGAACTACCCACGCATACCCCGTACTCAAAGCGAGTCTCCTGGGTGCACGTGGCACTCGCAGTCGCAGTCGCTCTAGCTCTAGCTCTAAGACACAGTTAAACTATTTGCCAGAGCATCGGCTAGTCGTGCGTTTTGGCATTGGGAGAGCTTCTATTTGTTTCCTCTAATTACTTGAAATGCTTTCAAGTCTTGTGAGGCATATTAAAGCAACGATTCGTAGTAAATGCAGCTGAAGGACGCTTCGCTTGTCCCGGCAAAATCAGCATAAAAAAATCATGAAAACTTGTTACTCATAATAGCTTCAACACACAAAGATTATTTAAAAAAGTTGAAAATTACTTTTCGCCTTGCACAATATCCATCATAACATTAACTGAGCTGCGTGGTAGGCGGAGTGCGAGGGGGGCTCGACTCCTTTCATTCCCTTTGCGCTGCGCTGTGACACTGAAAGTTCATTAAGTTTCGTTAAAACGTTAAACTGGGAAAATTGCCAAGAAAAGAAGCCACAAAATGTTTTCTTTTTCCATTTTTATAACCCAAATACTCAGTGCCGGTGCGTGTATAGGGTATGTGGATTCAGCTTGAAATTGATGCTACAGTCAGGAGGAGGCGTGGCACACACCAGAGAGCATACTGATTCGTACTTGAGATCAGTGATCAAGTCGACTTAGCCTTTGCTGTCTGTCTTACGATTCGTCCTTGCTTCGGTCTGTCCACATACGTCTACTTCCCTCTGTGAGTCAGTCCGTCTGTCCATCCATCTAGCAGTACGTCTGTCGAAGCTGTTGCTTATTTACCATTCATCCGTCTGTCCATCCCTCCCGTCTGTCTGTGTCCCAATTGGCTATTCCTTCGGCTGTCCATTGGTCTATCCATTGGTCTGTCCCTTGGTGTGTCCTTTGGTGTGTCCTTTGGTCTGTCCATTGGTCTGTCCATTGGTCTATCCATTGGTCTCTCCATTGGTCTGTCCATCTGTATACCCATCTCTATGTTCATCCACCTGTCCATCTGTTCGTCTGTCCATTCATTCGTCCCTCTATCCGTCTTTCCATCCATCCGTCCGACTGTCTTGTGCCCTTTTCTCCTTCCGTATTTCCATCTATTCGTTCGCCTGCCTGTGTGTTCTCCTATCTGTCGATCTGTCTGCCCATCGATCTGTCCATCCGTATGTCCATTCCTTACCGATTCATCTGTTGATCCGTCAGTCCATTTCTGTCTTTCCTCCTTCTTCCCATTCATTCGTCCGACTGTCTTAAGCTCAATTCATTTCTCTGTCTACCGCTCCCTCCTCTCTCCATTCGTCTCTGCATCCGTTCATCCCTTGCTCCATCATTTCTTTCTGTGCATCTGTAGAGAAGCATCGATCTTAGTAAGTATAAGAGGTAGATAAATCTGACAGCTCGTGTAGCATCAATGATCTTTCCCACTTCAAATTCAATTGCTTAAGTTTGATATCACATTTAAGAGAAACATATCAATGTGCAGTGCAGAGTAACTGCTAGTCGGTCAGTCTCGACTGACTCATTCTTACATGTTTTGAATTGACTGACCCAGCCAGCTTGGAGCTAGGTCTAGCAGGGTTTGACGGCTGAGGGTTGCATGCGAATTTAATCAAGTCATGCAATAAAATTTACGGTTTTGCCTTCTTGGTCAAGAATGCGCTACAATGCCTGGCCTGTTTGTGTGCTGTGTGTTGGCCACTGACTCGCTTGAATATATTTAGCCGCCGTTAGGGCATGCAGCGTTCGCAAGGCTGCCCTCTTTCACAAATACTAATATTTGCTGCGTCTTTTCTCCTTTTTTTGCTCCCTGTTCGCGAGCATGTACGGCCTTCGGTCTGGTTTAAAACAATTTGCGGTCTTTCACGTTGTTTGGCTGGCAAAAAGTTTTTAGGTATTTTCCATGCACGTTCACCCAGTGAAAAGAGTTTGTTGGTTTTGTGGACTGATTGTCGGACTGCTGAGTGACTGCTGTTTAGCCTCTGGTGTTTAGCATGGCAGATGGCAGAGCTTCTTAGAAGCCAGTTGTTAGCTGAGTAATTGGTGACTTTTTGTATAGCCCTGATGTCTATATATATAAATATATATAGGCTGAGCAACAATCATATACCAAAGAAGAAGGGAATCTTAGGAAGTAGTCAGAGTCTATGTCGTGTGGGTTTAGAGCGCGTAAAACCCAGCTACATTCTTTTAGATAGGCTTTGTAGCTGATCTTTTGGCCTGGCACGGGTATTCGGTAGTCAGTACAGACCGCCTGCAATGCCTGTAACACTGTTTTCTTTTTGCGGTTTGAGGAAGTTTTTAGAATTCTTTGACGTCTGCCGAAATGAAGGTATTTTGGCTCTGGAACAGTGACTTGATTGAAGGGTAGATTGAGAATGTTATATTAGTAATATAAAGAAAGAGTATATATATTAGATATCTGGACAGATCTGCTCAGTTTGGCACAACTTATTGTTCGATATGGACAGCAATGGGCACGGCTCTGTCGATTGCTTTGGGGTGTGAAATTCTCAATCAAAATTCCACGTCGCGACGCTGCGCGGCGCCTAATTGTTTTTTCCTTTTGTTTTTATGCGGTTTTTGTTATTTTTTTAATTTTATTCTTTTCTAGGTTGGCTCTGGAGTTTTAGGCCAGGCAGTTGGCTTTGGCGAAGTTCGCTTCTGCTTGTCTTAGTTGGGCAAAGTTGAGTGTTTTTTTGGGGCTTTGTTTTTGCGCCTTTCCGTATGCACGGCTCAGAGAAATGCAAATTTCAATTACGTATATAGCGGGCGAAATTGAAATGCTTTTTGAAATATTTTCATTTCGCTGCTCATAAGAAATGCAGCCACGGTTCAACTTTGTTCGACTTCAACTTTGCCCCCAGAACCCAATGCTGGTTCGCTTGTCAACAATCGCGCGCATTTCATTTGCATTTCGAATGCGTGAAAACTTTCGCGTAGTCAGAAATTTATTTGCGAATTTTGTAACATGTGTCCAGTTGGCGCAAGTCGAAAACTTTTCACTTGAAAACTTGGCAGCAGTCGAGGGGCGTGGGGCGTGGGGCGTGCGGCCAGTAAACTGCCAAATCACTTTGGTTTCTTTGGTTAATGAAAATTTCATTTGGAATACCGACAAAGTTTTACACTCGGACTGTCTTCTTGATGGCATTTTGTGGCCGGATTGATGTTGACTACGAATTATTTCATTTAATTGCCGTTGAAATATTTAATATTAATTGATGTCCTTTAATTGCTGCTGTGGCTCGCGCGCTGCTCTTCCCTGCCGCGCCACGACGAACTCATTAAAAACGCATCAGCTGCCCTGCGGCTCTTGCCTCACATTATTAATCTTCATGAGCGAACCACATATTGCCAGCAGGCAGCCGCTTCCAGCTAAGACAATGCTTCAACTTGCCCAGACAAAGCACTAAACTTTGGCCACGCATCACATCCAGCCACAACAATTTGCGTTCAGCTGCTGTGCAATTTATTGTATTGACTTGGCTTGATCCTTTCATTTGGCCACTCCCGGCGCGGCTCTTGACAACTTTTTGCACATTTGCTCTTTGTCTGCATGTAACGACCTGCCTGGGACTTGACTTGGCTAAGACTCTTTTGCCTACTTGGACAATTGATTTTTGGCCACATCAACAATAAGCAGCAGGAATTCTTGATTGGGGCGCAGTAGGAATTTGTGCAGTGCTACGAAACTTCAAATAGCCAAATATTAAGTAAGGCTATGATAAACAGATGTGTGGGAAGGGCTTAGTTTGGAGAGACCAAAGAGAGGGACAGTGAGTGTACAACAATAGTTGCATAAGACTAAGACTAAGACAGAGAGCAGGAAATTCATTGATTTGCATCTCATGAAGAATATATGAAATCAATTCAAAGTGAAGCCTTGTGTCTAAAATTATGAAATGCTCTTTATAATTTGATCTATTTTAATTTGGATTTGCTACTCTCTATTGCTTTTCTATTCATCAAATGCTTTGCCTCTGCTTGGCAGCAGCGTGAATAAATCATATTAATTAGGCTTTTAAGTTGTCTTTACCTCAAAAGAGGTCAATACCACAAAAGACCGCTAGAAAGAGCAATGAGTGTGAGTATGAGTATGAGTATGAGTGTGAGTGCTCTACTGGGGTGTAGTCGACTAGAAAATACCCTGAGCCATGTGCCT